CCTTCTGCCTGCTCTCGGTCCATATCCCTCCATTTCTTGCATATGCGTGTGCTAATCTAAAAGTCCTTTAAACGTCCCTATTGTATCTACGTGTTCCAGACTCCCACCACTCCCTGTGTAAAAAACCTGCCCCTCACATCTCCTTTGAACTCTCCTCTCCTCACCTTAAATGCATGACCCTAGTGTTAGACATTTCAACTCTGGAAAAACATTCTGACCGTCAACCCTATCTATTCATCTTATAATTCTGTGGACTTCTATCAAGTCTCCCCTCAGCCTCCAACACCCCAGAGAAAACAATCCTAGTTTTTCTAGTCTCCCCTTATAGGTCATGCCCTCTAACCCTTGCATCAAGGTGGGAAACCACTTCTCCACCCTCTCCAAAGCCATGTGTGTGTGTGTGTGTGTGTGTGTGTGTGTGTGGGTGTGTGTGCGTGTGTGTGTGTGGGTGTGGGTGAATGTGGGTGTGTGCATTTGTGTGTGTGTGTGTGTGGGTGTGGGTGTGGCTGTGTGTGTGTGGATGTGGGTGAATGTGGGTGTGTCCATTTGTATGTGTGTGTGTGTGGGTATGTGTGTGTGCGCGTTTGTGTGTGTGTGGGTGTGGGTGTGTGTGCACGTTTGTGTGTGGGTGTGTGTGTATGTGCGCGTTTGTGTGTGTGGGTGTGTGTGTGTGGGTGGGGGGGTGGGTGGGTGTGTGTGTGTGTGTGTGTGTCTGTCTGTCTGTCTGTGTATGTGTGTGTGTGAGAGAGTTCAGCTTGTTGTGACTTCAACCTACATTTCAATTTGTAATTCAATGAATCTTTTTCCGTAGGAGATTTAAATTTTCTGAAGATGTACAGAATGCCTTTAAGGTAAGGATATTGCTGGATAGGACTGAGTGGCAGGAACCTTTTACAGCAGTCTGCCCAAATCCAACCTGCAGTGTGATTCCAGGACATAGTGATGTTGAAAACTGTACTGACATGGTGTCATTCATCGTGAGGCGACCTTATAGAAACATATAAGATTCTTAAGGGACTTGACAGGATAGATGTTGAGAGGTTGATTTCCCTTGTGGAAGTGTCTAAGGGCATTATCTCAGAATCAGGGCTAACACAATTAAGATAGCAATGAGGAGGAATTTCTTCTCTCAGAGGGCCATGGATCCGTGGAATTCTTTATCTCAACAGGCTGTTGAGTCTGGATCATTAAGTATATTCGAGATAGAGAAGGAACGAGAATTGAGAGGAAAAGACACCAAAGTGGAGTTCAGCACTATGAGAATGGAAAAGCAGACTCGATGGGCTGAATGGCCTGCTTCTATGTCTATGTCTTATGGTCTTATAAATGTAAATCGTTCTTTCTTTAAAACATGGCACCTGAGCTGTGATATCACAATGAACTCTATTAAAAACGTCAGTTGTGCACCAACCCATCTTTTCCTGTTGTGGAGAAACTCTTTAACAGGTCAAATAGAAAATTTTATGCAGCATGGTTTTGCAGAAATGCTAACTCTCTCTCTAGTGCCTTTGATCTTTCTCTTCATTGTTATCCTGGTTCCAGCAGTGCTGTGAAACCAGCACTAAAAGCATTAGTTCGGTTTAAGCAGTTAACTTGGATCAAATATAAAATTCAATTCCAAATCTCGAAGCGTTATCCCAACCATATGTGAAATTCCATTCATTGCTTGACAATTCATTATCTCTAAATGCATCATCTAACTCATTAGAAGTACTATCTTTTTATTTTAGACAAGGCATGGAGTTAGGGCTTTGAAATAACTCCGAACCAAGCGCCAGTGTGAGGCTTTTTATGTAGTTCTGAGAATGTCTAATGCTCATTTCAAATTGCCAAGAGAGGTGACAATTGACTCAGGGTCTCATTGGGCCCGCGAATAGACAACCACATCCTGATGACTGGGACATTTTGATAGATGCCAACTCACATGTAACCAATCAATTCAGAACTTCAGACCTAACCTGGTGAAATCCGAAGCCATAATCTGATACCATATTGTCCAATTCTACACCCAGAGCCGTAAATTAACAGAGACTATCATTGGCTGTGAGTTACTGACCCCGTGTTCATGGATATTGTACTTATCTACAGCAAACAGGGAAATGATTACCCAAGTATTGCGAAGAAAAATAAATGGGATGAGAATCAACTGTTAGTATCTCAATAGAGATGGAGCAAAGTATGAGAAATCTGTTGAGAAAAACACTTCATAGAATCAGTGTGAAAGCAGGCCATACCAACCCTCCAAAGAGTATCCCAACAAGATGCACCTCCCTACTCTCTAACCCTGCATCATCCCATGGATGACCCACCTAGCCTGCACACCTTTGGACTGTGGGAGGAAAGCCACACAGACAATTGCCCAACATTGGAATTGAACCCATGTCCCTAGCTAGCACTGTGAGGTAGCAGTGCTAACCGCTGAGCCACTGTGCTGTCCCAGCTCACTTGTAGTGAATTAAACAGTTTTTTTAGTTGAGAAGCAGCAGAGGTAAAAGCATCAGAGATAGTAGGAACTGCAGATGCTGGAGAATCCGAGACAACAAGGCGCAGGGCTAGATGAACACAGCAGGCCAAGCAGCATTATAGGAGCAGAAAGGCTGACGTTTCGGGCCTAGACCCTTCATCAGAAAAGCAACTTGATTAAGCTCAGGTCTTCATGAGAGGCAGAAAGGGTAAAATCAGCATTGAAAGAAATCTGGTTGAGCAAGATTACTAAAGAATTCAGCTACTCAGAGCATATGAACAAACATTAACAGCAGATTAGAACGGTTCAACAGCTCTCTGATACATTTAATTCAAGCATTTCAATAAGATGTGAACAAGGACAAAGAAAATGGTGTTTCAGGATGAAAGCATTTTTCACCCAGCATCAGACTAAACTGTAGTATTGGCACAATCATTACCATGCCAATGGCAATGTCGAAACTTAGACTTTTCTCAACACAAATGAGTTAACTACATCTCATGCGGACAACCTTAATTTTCTTCTCTTCAGATGGTCCCAGGCTGCTGGGGGTTGGATTATATCCGAAGTGCAGTAAAAATATTTGCCTTCAGTTTAAGAGCGTAATGATTTGAAGCAAGTTGATAGATGTTAGCTTTTTGAACATGGGATTTTTTTCCCCCTGCTGACATCAAGTATTCCTCTATCTAATAAGTCAGTGCTGCCCAACACATCAGTCACTCAGTATATTAAAATGCCCATCTCAGTAATTGCATTTCTGATCAGAAAATTTCAAATTAACATCATCACCGGGTGTGTGTTTGGATGAAGCAACAAGGTTGAGGGATTGGCTCATGAGGGATGTTTCTATACCTTGGAGGTGTTCTCAATGGAATACAGAAAGTTGTGAGGGGATTATAACCACTGTTTCCAGGGCAAAATAATGATTAATCCAGATAGGGCGAGATAGATTTCTTTCAGAGAAAACCATCCTGGGATATAATTTGAAACATGATGTGTGGTGGGTACAGCAGGATCAGTTGATCTGGACCAATGGTTTCCAAAGTTCTCTTATCACTGGAGTTGCACACACTGCATCGAAACATACACTATAGATACAGGAGCAGGCCATTCAGCCCTTCGAGCCTACACCACCGTTCAATATGATCATGCAATTTGAGTATCCCAATCCTGCCTTCTCCCCATACCCCTTGATCCCTTTAGCCACGAGGGCCATATCCAGCTCCCTCTTGAATATATCTAATGAACTGGCCCCAACAGCTTCCTATGGGAGAGAATTCCACAGATTCACAACTCTCTGAGGGAAAAGAACCCCTAGTTCTGGATTTCCCCAACATCAGGAACATTCTTCCCACATCTAGCTTGTCCAATTTCATCAGGATTTTATATGCTTCTATGAGATTCCCCTTCATTCTTCTCAATTCCAATGAGTACAAGACCAGTCAATCCAGTCTTTCTTCATATGTCAGTCCTGCCATCGCAGGAATCAGTCTGGTGAACCTTCGCTAGACTCCCTCAATAACAAGAATGTCCTTCCTCACACTCAGAGACCAAAACTGCACTGAATACTCAAAGTGTGGCCTCACCAAGGCCTTGTATAACTACAGCTAGACATCCCTACTCCTATATCTGGCTCTATTCCAGACTAACAAATTCAAAGTAGCTATTATAATTTATTAATAACTCCTTTGTGATTGTATCATGCAACAGGTTGGTAGAAGGTAAACATTGTTTCTCTACTATTCATCAAGCTGTAAGTTTGTCGATGACACCACTGTAGTGGGACGGATATCTAACAACAATGAGTCAAAATACAGAAGGGAGATAGAGGGCTCGGTAAAGTGAAGCAATGAAAACAATCAATCTCTCAATGTCGGCAAAATTAAAGAACTGATCATCGACTTCAGAAAGAAAGGAGGAGAACACACCCCCATCTACAGTAATAGAACTGAGATTGACAGGGTGGAGGGCATCAAGTTTCTCGGAGTGACGACAATCGACAACCTGTCCTGGACTTCCCATGTTGATGCAACAGTCAGGAAGGCACAACAACACCTCTTCTTCCTCAGGCAGTTCAGGAAATTTGCCATGTCCATAAAGTCCCTCACCAACTTCTACAGATACACCATTGAAAGCATACTGTCCAGTTGCATAATGGCCTGGTATGGCAACCGCTCTGCCCAGGACCGTTACAAACTACAGAGGGTCGTGTGCACAGCCCAGACCATCACGGAAGCCAACCTTCCATCCATGGACTGTATTTACAGGGCCCACTGCCGCAGAAAGGCTGCCAACATCGTCAAAGACCCCCTCCCATCCCGGTAATGATCTCCTACAACCTCTTCCATCAGGGAGAAAATACAGAAGCCTGAACGCACACGCAAGCAGGTTCAGGAACAGCTACTTTCCGGCCATTATCAGACTGATGAATGGACTCTTGCCTCAAATAATGTAATCTGCAGTGTAACCTGCATGCCTTTAAGTCTTTTTGATCTGTACATGCTTTGCTTGCTGTGATCTGTCTGTACTGCTCATAAACAAAGTTTTTCACTGCATTTTGGTACATATGACAATAAAATCAATTAATCAATCAATCAATCAATCATGTTCCCATATAGCGGAGAAAGCTAGGGGAAGGGATTTAAGTCTACAAAGTGATAAGGGACATTGATAGAGGCAATAGGAATAAACATTTCCCCTGAATAGAGGGATGTATTACCAGGGAGACAGATTTAAATTAAGGGACAGGAGAATGGTGGGTGGAACTGACGCCTGGCAGGAACCAGTAAGAAGCATTTTGATTAATACTTGAAATGCCATACAAGGTCATAAACTGGGAACTGGGACAAGAGGAAATAGATGCTTGAAGACTAGCACAGACATGATGGGCCAAAGGACCTCTTTTCATGCTGGATTGCTCTCCAACTTTATGAATGGCACTGAACCCTGTTTGCAATTCACCGCTGTGCCCAATGAAGCTACATTAGCTTTCTGTTAAGCAATGCCTCATTTCTAAAATTCTCACCTTTATTTTCAAAGCCCTCCATCACAGAGAGTCACAGAGTGTCATACAGCACAGAAACAGGCCCTTCGGCCCACCGTGTCTATGGCAATTGACAAACACCAAACTACACCAGACTCGTTCGCCATCATTTGGTCCATAGCCTGCTCGGCCCTAATGTTTTAAGTGCTTATCCAGATGCTTTATAAATGTTGCGATAGTACCTCCCTCCACCCTGTCTAAGCCCGTCATAATTCTGTACACCTCAGTCAGATCCCCCTCAGCCTCCTCTGCTCCAGAGTAAACAATCCCAGTCTATCCAGTCTCTCCTCATAACTGAGATTTTCCATTCCAGGCAACACCCTGATGAATCTCCTCTGCACCCTCCCCAATGCAATCACATCCTTCCGATAGTGTGGTGACCAGAACTGCACCCAGCACTCCATTTGTGACCTAAACAATGTTTTATAAAGTTGTAACAAGACTTCTTTGCTCCTATATTCTATCCTCTGGCTAATGAAGGCAAGCATCCTGCAAGTCTCTTCCCCACCCTGTCTGCCTGTGCTGATACCTTCAGGGATCTATGGACTTGTACACCAAGGTCCCTTTGTTCCTAAGTATGGCCTATTGATGTACCATTCATTGTGTTATTCCTTGCCTTAGACTTTGCAAAATGTATTATCTCGCACTTATCAGGATTAAATTTCAACTGCGATTGCTCTGCCCAATTTACAATCAATGCCAGACTGTAGCCTGAGACCATCCTCCTCCCTGTCAACACCACCAATTTCTGTGTCATCTGCAAACTTGCTAATTATACCTTCTACTTTTACATCCAAGTCATTAATGTACATAACAAAAGCAAGGGTCCCAGCACCAATCCCTGTGGTACACTGATGGTCACAGGCTTCCATCACAAAAACAACCCTGCACCATCACCCTTTGCCTCCTAACCGTAAGCCAATTTTAGATCCAGTTTGTCAACTTGCCTTGGATCCCATGGGCTCTTACCTTTTGGACCAGCCTTCCATGTGGGACCTTGTCAAAGGCCTTACAGAAGTCTATGGATACCACATCAACTGCACTCCCTTCATCAATATATATCATCATTTCAAAACATTCCATTAAATTAATCAGACAGGATCTCCCTCTCTAAACGATATCCCCAGTTACATTGCCTTCCTCCTCTATGAATATAGATGAAAAATATTCATTGACGACCTCGTCCACATCTATTGGCTGTATGTATCGGTTGATCCTTTGACCTCAAATAGGTCCCACTCTTTTCTGTGGTAATCTTCTTACTCTTAATACACTTACAAAATGCTTTGGGGTTTTCCTGAATGCTATCTGCAAATGATATTTCCTGGCCAACAAAAACAAAGTTGCTGGAAAAGTTCAGCAGGTCTGGCAGCATCTGTGAAGGAGAAAACAGAGTTAACGTTTCAGGTCCGGTGACCCTTCCTCAGAACATTTGGTTTATCCTGGTTTATCCCATTTTCCAAATGTAAACTTACCTGTAAGTAACTGAAGAAGGGTCTCGACCCGAAATGTCAACTTTCCTGCTCCTCTGACACTGTCTGGCCTGCTCTGTTCCTTCAGCTCCACACTGTGTTATCTCTGACTCCAGCATCGGCAGTTCTTACTATCTACTGCTCTCAGTATCTGTTGGCCAGACCCTGTCTAATGATATTGAAATTGGCCTTCCCCTAATTCAGACAGTTAACTTCTGCACTATCCTGTCCCTTTCCATAGTGACGCCAAAATTTACAGAGTCATTGTCACTATCCCCGAAATGCTCCCCCACTGAAATTTCACCACTTGACCGGCTTTATTCCCTAGGACTAGGCCTCATGCAGCCCCATCTCTAACAGGACTATCTACAAACTGGCATTGAAAGCTCTTTGAAGATTCCACCATGTCTAACCCTTTCATACTAAGGTGATCCCAGTTAATGTTAGCAAAGTTGAAATCGCCTACAATAACTCTATTCCTCTCTGTGATTTGCATACATACCTGCTCCTCTAGCTCCTTCTGAATGTCAGGAGGCCTGAAGCATAATTCCAGTCCCTTTTTTATTTCTAAACTCCACCTCATTGGAAGACTGTTCTAAGACATCCTCCCTCATTATCACAGTGATGGCTTCCATTATCACCTCTCTTACATCTCTCCGTATCGTGCCTCTAAATGCTATACTCTGGAATGTTAGCTGTCAGTCCTGACCTTCCCTCAACCAACAATATCATATTCCCATGTGTTGATCAGAGCGCTTAGTTCCATCTGCATTATCAGTCAAGCTCCTTGTATTAAAATAGATACAATGTCACTTTCAAGATTTCCAACGTATCATATCCTGCCCAAGTCTTCTGCTCCTATTGGACTGTCTTAGCATTCCTCCATATCTGATTGGAGCTTACTCCGAAATTTACATCTACTCTGTGCCCCATCCTGCTGCCAAATTAGCTGGCAACCTAGCCAACAGCTCCTCTATCTCCTATATTGTCCTTTAGCCTCAAATCCACTGGATATCTGTTACTACTCCAACTGTCTCTCCACCATTGCTGACTGTAGCTTCAGTCATTGAAGCCCCTACCAGGGGTGGCACGGTGGGGCGGCACAGAGGTTAGCACTGCTGCCTCAGAGCGCCAAGGACCTGGGTTTGATTCCACCCTCAGGTGACTGTCTGTGTGGGAGTTTGTACATTCTCCCCATACTCTTAGAATCCCTACAGTGTGGAAACAGGCCCTTCAGCCCAACAAGTCCACACCAACCCTCAGAGCATCCCACCCAGACCCATTCCCCCTATAACCCACCTAATCTACACATCCCTGAACACTATGGGCAATTTAGCATGACCAATCCACCTAACCTGCACATCTTTGGACTGTGGGAGGAAACTGGAGCACCCAGAGGAAACCTACACAGACAGTTGCCCGAGGGTGGAATTGAACGTGGGTCCCTGGCACTGTGAGGCAGCAGTGCTAACCACTGTGCCATCACGCTGCCTGTGTGGGTTTCCTCCCACAGTCCAAAGATGTGCAGGCTAGGTGGATTGGCCATGCTAAATTGTCCGTAGTGTTCAGGGATGTGTATGCCAGGTGGGTTAGCCATAGGAATTGCAGGGTTAGAGGGATAGGGTGGGTCTGGGTGGGATACTTTTTGCAGGGTCGATGTGGACTTGATGGGTTGAATGGCCTGCTTCCGTACTGTAGGGATTCTATGATTTTACCAATCCTCACTACCTTTTTCATCTCACTTTCTACCATAAAGATCTCTTGCAATCTATAACTTTGATCAAGCTTTTGGCTACCTCATTGAGTATCTTGTTTACTGTGGTTGATGGTATCTCTGTGAAGCATTTCGGCTGCTTTAAGTGACTCTGGGGAGATCAAATGGCCTTTGGTGGAGAAAAAATGCCTTTCAGGGAAGTCAGGTGCCATTTGAAATGAATATAAATGGGCTTGAATATGTCTAAAAGGCACATGAACTTACTGTCAAGCTCAATGAGACTGTTCACAGACTTTACAAAACCAACTGTGAAGAGGATCTGTCAAACCTGTTAAAAAAACCTATCTAATCAAAAGATACTGTCAATCTGCCAAAACATTTAAAATTCCAGCCTTTTAGATCTTTGAAAAACATTTGGAGTGATGATAAAGAAATCTCTGCTTGTTATTTCATACTGTCTCTTTACGCAAGCTCCCATGACTGGATTAATGCTTCATAACAAATTTCACAGCCATTTGTTATCACAGCAGGGTGCCTGTCATTTCATGGCTAGATTGACATCTCTGTGTGGTTCAAGACACTTCCAGTTGAGACTCTAAATTAATTCTACTGTTGGTTATTATAAGGGGTTGTACATTTGTCTGTTCTTTTAAGGCATTTTTCAGTTGAAAGCATGTAACTGAAGTAACTTATTTATGAATGAAAGCTTTATTTCCAATTTGGTGAAATCTGCTATTTAATGGAAATGTGCTTTATCTCATCTGTGCAGGAACCCTGAGGTCTCACCAAGGTGGTGGTGGTAAGTTGACATGGTAAATCTAAGGGAATGTGAGTATGGGCATAAGTCGGTGTGAAGGATAGATGGGACT